TATATATATATATATATATATAAAAAGTGATGTGTGGCCAAAGTGATTGGTGACACATACTCAAAATTTGTGCTCTGGAGAGAGATTGAAGAGCTGAAGGAGATTGAAGAGAATAGATATAAGGTGGCAATGTTGAGGTGTAAAGCAAAATATCTGATAGAAGGAGAAAATGCACAAGGTTTTTTTTTTGATTTGGAAAATGAAAAGGAAGAGTTGAAACTATAAAAGAAGTACAGAAAGAAAATTGTGAAATGGTAGAAGAATGTGGGGAAATTTTAGAAGTAAGAAACTATTATGAAAAGCTGTTTAGTACGGAAGGAGTAAGGGAGAGAGAAAAAAGGGAGTTAATGAAATTAATAAAAATGAAAGTGAGTAAAGAGGAGAAGGAAGAATGCGATCAGACCATAAGTAAAGAAGAGATAGAAAGAGCAATAAACGAACTGAACAAAAAGAAAAGCCCAGGGATTGATGGTTTAGGAAGCGAGTTTCACGTAACTTTTAAAGACCTTTTAGCAAATATTTTAAGGGATGTTTATGATCAGATTTTGGAAAAAGGAGGAATGATGTTAGGAATGGGGATGGGATTGATGAAGGTAATATATAAGAAGGGGGAAAAACAGAACAAAAAAAATATAGACCTATCACAATGCTAAATACTGATTTAAAGATTTTAGCAAAACTTTTAGCGAATAGATTAAAAGAGATAATGCCAAAGATAATCACAACAAATCAGGCATATGGAGTAAAAGGAAAAGACATTGCGGATGTAACAATGAGCATAAGAGACACGATAAGGTACATGGGAGAAAAAAGGAAAGGAGGGTATATAATTAACTTTGATTTTGAAAAAGCTTTTGAGAGGGTGGAACACAAATATTTATTTGATATTTTAAAAAGTTTTGGGTTTGGGGAGAATTTTATTAAATGGATTTGTATTTCATACAAGGGAGCAGTGACAACAATAAAATGTAATGGGTTTTTAACAAAATGTTTTAGAATAACACAATCTATAAGACAAGGGTGTCCTTTATCAGCCCTGCTATACTCATTGGTGGCAGAACCGCTTGGACTAGCCATAAAACAAGAAAGGGGAATCAAAGGAATAGAGATCGAACAAACCGGAAAGGAGAATAACATTTTTCAATATGCAGATGACACAACCATTTTTGCTAAAGAAGAAGAAAGTGCCAAAAAAGGAATGGAAATAGTACAGAGATTTTGCAAGGGGTCAGGAGGAAATGTAAATGAAAAAAAAAATGTATTTATGAGATTTGGGCAGACGACAGATTTAACGGGGAGTTTTAAATTTAAGTAAGTAAAAGAAATGAAGATTTTAGGAATTTTAATGAGGAAAGATGAAGATAAAGTGAGAGAAACCATGTGGGAAGAAATAGTGGGAAGCATTGAAAGAAGACTGAACTTTTGGAAATTGAGAGCACTAAATTTAAAAGGGAAGGTTTTAATCCTGAATGTTTTAATGACAGCAGAATTGTGGTATTTTTTATATGTGACATCTATGCCGGTGTGGGTGGAAAGAAGGTTAAAAAATTGTTTTTTAGACTTCTTATGGGTAGGGAAACCAGCTAGAATTGCATACAATACCTTAATAGGGATGGTGGAAAAAGGAGGTTTGGGTTTAATGGATGTGGAGCAAAGGAAAAATAGTCTGAGAGTCAAATTAGTCAAAAAGTATCTGGATGAGGGAAACAAAGCAGAATGGAAAACAACAATGGAATTTTTTTTTAAACAAATGTGGGAATTTTAATCTGGGAGATGATGTGTTATGGATGAGAACAAAAGAATGGATAACAGAGGGGTTGCCAAAGTTTTACAAAGAAGTTTTAAGGGCTTGGGAAACATTTTTAGCTACTGTACAGTGCAACTTACATGGAAGAGAAAACATTTTAAATCTGCCATTATTCCACCGGCATTTTAAACCAAGGGAAGGAAATATATTTTAAAAAATGGATGGAAGTTGGAATAGTTAAAATAAGAGATGTTTTATATGAATATAAAGAAGGATTTTACCAATGCAGTACATAGTAAATGTGATGGAGGAAGCAAAATAAGAATTTAATAAGCAAGAACTAAAAAATAAGTATGAAATTATAAAAAAATGTAATACCTAAAGAATGGATAAAAAAGGTTGAAACTATGGAAGGGGGAAAGAGGAAAATTATGTGTATGTAATACTGGGAGAGAAATGGTGGCTTTTAAAAGAATGTACAGTGAAAATGTTTTATGGATTTTTCAGAGATGTGATTTTTAAGAAGTCAAGACAAGTCACCTTTATTTATATAGAGCTTTTAACAATACAGATGGTGTCAAAGCAACTGAACATAATTAATTAGGAAAATAGTGTGTCAATAATGCAAAATGACAATAGTAAACACTAATTTTTCAGTTAAAGGCAGTTCATCATTGAATTCAGTGATGTCATCATCCAGCTCAGTTCAGTTTAAATAGTATCTGTGTAATCAAGTCAACGATATCGCTGGAAATGAAGTGTCCCCAACTAAGCAAGCAAGAGGCGACAGCAGCAAAAATCGTATATCTTGCTACTGTTAACCATAAATTTAAAGCATGAACATTTTTTGCTTTTTCATTAAAGCCAAATAAAAACAATATTTCCCATTCCTCTAACCAATCATTCCGATCACTTAAAAAATCCCCCACAATTTTCCTTAACATCTTCATAGAATTTTCTAATTTTTTACATTTTAAAAACAAATGTAACAGTCCTTCATCTTTTTCCATACATAATTTACATTTTGCATCTTGTGCCATTCCAATTTTTGCCAATTTCATGTCAGTCATTAAAACATTGTGTCTCAACAAGAAATCTAAATGATCCAATATGGGACTTTTAAATTTCCATCTTACATTTTTCCAAATCTTTGTTACATCTAGATCACAAAAAAACCTTTCCCAAAAATAAATT